GCACTCACCATAGCACATACCCTACCCAATGTCCATAACCCCCCCCAACCCCCCTCTGCCCAGCATACAAAATGGACTTTAAAACAAAGACTGTAACAAGAGGCCAAGAAGGACCCTTTATAATCATAAAGAGGACAATCCAACAAGAGGATATAACAATTGTAAACATTTATGCACCCAATGTATGGGAGCACATACATAAAACAATAAAAATATAAAGGAAGTAATCACTAAAGATACAATAATAATAGGGAACTTTAACACCCCACTTACATCAATGAACAGATCATCCAAACCCAAAATCAACAAGGAAACAATGGCTTTGAATGACATATTGGACCAGATGGATTTAACAGATCTATTCAGAACATTTCATCCTAATACAGCACAATATGCACTCTTTTCAAGTGCACATGGAACATTCCCTAGAATAGATAACATTAGGCCACGGAACAAGAATCAACAAATTAAAAAAGACTGAAGTTGTACCATGCATCTTTAATTATTTTCTTAAAGATTTTATTTATTTATCTGAAAGAGAAAGACAGAGAGATGGTGCACAAGCAGTGGCAGGGCCAGAGGGAAAAGGAGAAGTAGGCTCTCTGCTGAGCAGGGAGCCTGACATGGGGCTTGTTTCCAGAACCCTAGGATAAGGCAGACGCGCAACTGACTGAGCCACCCAGGCATACCCCATGTATCTTTTCTGACCACAACGCTGTGAAACTAGAAATCAGCTACAAGAAAAAATCTAGAAAGAACACAAATACATGGAGGTTAAATAACATGCTACTGGGGCACCTAGCTGACTCAGTCAGTTAAGCATCTGCCTTCTGCTCAGATCATGATCCCAGGGTCCTGGGATTGAGCCCCACCTTGGGCTCACTGCTCAGCAGGGAACCTGTTTCTTCCTTTCCCCCTTGCTTGTGTGCTTGCTAACTCTCTCTCTCTCAAATAAATACATAAAATCTTAAAAAAAAAAATGCTACTATGTATGACCCAATGAAAGGGTCAACCAACAAATCAAAGAAGAAATCAGAAAATACAGGGGAACAAATGAAAATGAAAACACAATGGTCCAAAATCTTTGGGATGCAGCAAAAGCTATTTTAAGAGGGAAATTTATAGCAATATAGCAATACAGCAAAAAAAATAGCAAATTTATAGCAATACAGCAAAATTTATACCTCAAGAAGCAAGAAAAATCCAAAATAAACAACCTAAACTCATACCTAAAGAAGTTTGAAAAAGAAGAACAAAAATAGCCCAAACCAGTAGAGGGAAGGAAATAATAAAGACTAGAGCAGAAATAAATGAAATAGAAATAAGAGATAGTAGAAGAGATCAATGAAACCAGGTGCCAGCTTTTGACAAGATTAACAAAATTGATAAACCTTTAACCAGACTCATCAAAAAAAATTTTTTAAAGTGAGAGGATTCAAATAAACAAAATCAGAAATGAAAAAGGAGAAATACCAACCAATACCACAGAAATACAAAGGATTGTAAAAGAACATTATGAAAAATTATATGTCAAAAAATTGGGACAACCTAGGAGAAAAGGGTAAATTCCTAGAAACATATAACCTCCCAAAACTGAATCAGGAAGAAATAGAAAATTTGGACAGACTGAATACCAGCAATGATATTGAATCTGTGAAAATAAAAATAAAAACAAAATCAAAAACAAAAACAAAAAAATTCCCAACAAATGAAAGTCCATGACCAAATGGCTTCACAGGTGAATCCTACCAAACATTTAAAGAAACTATTTTTTTTTTAAGATTTTTATTTATTTATCTGACAGACAGAGACCACAAGTAGGCAGAGAGGCAGGCAGAGGGAGAGAGAGGAGAAAGCAGGCTCCCCGCTGAGCAGAGAGCCCAATGCGGGGCTCAATCCCAGGACCCCGGGACCACGACCTGAGCTGAAGGCAGAGGCTCTAACCCACTGAACCACCCAGGTGCCCCTAAAGAAACTATTTTAAAAAATAGAAGAGGGGGGGCGCCTGGGTGGCTCAGTGGGTTAGGCTTCTGCTTTCAGCTCAGGTCATGGTCCCGGGGTCCTGGGATTGAGCCCTGCATTGGGCTCCTTGCTCAGCAGGTAGCCTGCTTGCCTTCCTCTCTCTCTGCCTGCTGCTCTGCCTACTTGTGATCTCTCTCTCTGTCAAGTGAGTAAATAAAATCTTAAAAAAAAAAAAATAGAAGAGGAAGGAAAACTTCCAAATTGATTCCCTGAGGTCAGCATTACCCTGATACCAAAACCAGGAAGGACATTACAAATACAGAGAATTACAAGCCAAAGTCCCTGAACATAGATGTAAAGATCCTCAACAAATATTAGCAAATGGAATCCAACAGTACCTTAAAAAAATCATTCACCATGATCAAGTGTGATTTATTTTGGTGATGCAAGAGTGGTTCAATATTTGCAAATTAATCAATGTGATACATCACATCAATAAGAAGAAGGATAAAAACCATATGATCATTTCAACAGATGCAGACAAAGCATCTGACAAAGTACAACATCTATTCGTGATAAAAACCCTTCACAAAGCAGGTTTAGAGAGAATATACATCAATATAATAAAGACCATATATGAAAAACCCATAGCTAACATCATACTTAATAGTGAAAAACTGAGATCTTTTCCCCTAAGGTCAGGAATAAGACAAGCATGTTTGCGCTCACCACTTTTATTCAACATACCACTGGAAGTCATAATCACTGCAATCAGATTAGAAAAGAGAATAAAAAGCATCCAAAGAGGTAAGGAAGAAGTAAAGCTTTCACTGTTTGCAGATGACATGATACTATATATAGAAAACCCAAAAGACTCTACCAAAAAAAAAAAAAAAAAAAAAATCTACTAGAACTGATAAATCCATTCAGTAAGATTGCAGGATACAAAATCAATGTACAGAAATCTGTTGCATTTCTATACACTAATAATGAAACATCAGAAAGAGAAATTAAGAAAACAACTTAATTTATAATTGTACCAAAAAATAATAAAAAAATAGAAATAAACTTAACCAAGGAGGTGAAAGATCTTTACTCTGAAAACTATAAAACACTGATGAAGGAAATTGAAATAACACAAACAAATGGAAAGGTAGTCCATACTCATGGATTGGAAAAACCAATATTGTTAAAATGTCCATACTACCCAAAGCAATCTATAGATTTTATGCAAGTATTTTTCACAGAACTAAAACAAAAGATCCTAAAATTTGTATGGAACCACGAAAGACCATGAATACCCAAAGCAAATTTAAAAAAGAAAAAGATTGAAGTATTATAATACCAGATTTCAAGTTATACTGCAAAGCTTTAGTTATCAAAACAGTATGGTTCAGGCACAAAAACAGACACACAGATCAATAGAACAGAATAGAAAGCCCAAAAATAAGTCCATGATCATATAGTCAGTTAATCTTCTACAAAGGAAGCAAGAACACGAATGGGGAAAAGATAGCCTCTTCAACAAACGGTATTGGGAAAACTTGACAGCTACATGCAAAAGAATGAAACTGGACCACTTACACCACATACAAAAATACACTCAAAATGGATTAAGGACCTAATGTGAGACCTGAAACCATAAAAATTCTAGAAGAGAACACAAGCAGTAATGTCTCTTACATTACCCATAACAATATTTTTCTAGATATATCTCCTGAGGCAAGGGAAGCAAAAGCAGAATTAAAATATTGGAGTGACAGCAACAAAACAAAACAAAAAAACAAGCTTCCACACAGCAAAGGAGACAATCAACAAAAGGAAAAGGCAACCTGTGGAATGGGAGAAGATACATGTAAATGACATATTCCATAAAGGATTAGTATCCAAATTTTATAAAGAACCTATACAACTTGACATATACAAAACAAATAATTCAATTAAAAATGGGCAAAAGAGGGGCACCTGGGTGGCTCAGTCGTTAAACATCTGCCTTAGGTCATGATGTTCAGGTCATGATCCCAGGGTCCTGGGATCGAACCCCACATCGGAATCTCTGCTTGGTGGGGAGCCTGCTTCTCCCTCTGCCTGCTGCTCCCCCTGCTGTGTTCCCTCTCTGGCTGTCTCTCTCTGTCAAATAAATAAAATCTTAAAAAAAAAAAAAGGAGAAGACATGAACAGACATTTCTCCAAAGAAAACATGCATATGACCAAAAGAAATGTGAAAAGATGCTAAAATCACTTATCATCAGGGAAATGTAAATTAAAACAATAATAAGATGTCACCTCACACCTGTCAGAATAACTAAAATTAAAAGATAAGACACAACAAAGTGTTGGTGAGGATGTAGAGCAAAAGGAACCCTCAAGGACATTTGGTGGGAATGCAGACTGGTGCAGTCACTTGGAAAAGAGTATGAAGGTTCCTCAAAAGAATTAAAAATAGAACTACCCTATGATCCAGTATATATACTGGGTATATACTCCCAAAATACAAAAACACTAGTTGGAAAGGTTATATGCAACCTATATTTATTGCAGCATTATTTATACTAGCTAAATTATGGAAGCAGCACAAGTGTCCACTGATAGATGAATGGATAAAGAAAATGTGAGATACACACACACACAAACACATGCATGCATGCACAGTGAAATATTATTCAGCTATAAAAAAGAATGAAATTTTGTTATTGGCTATTTGCTATTTGTAACAACATGGAAGGATCTAGGGCATATAACACTAAGGAAAATAAGTCAGCCAAAGACAAATACCACACAATTTCACTCACATGTACAATGGTATGTCTATAAACCAAGGGACACCAGGGACTGCCAGGAATCACCAGAGGCTAGGAGAGAAGCTCCTTCACAGCTTCCAGTAGGAAGCAACCCTGCTGATACCTGGATTTTGGACTTCCATCCTTTACAGCTGTTAGAGAATAGATTTCTGTTGTTTGAAGCCACTCAGTTGTGATACTTTGTTATGGCAGCCTTAGAAACCAATATACTGATTTCAAGGGCTTCTTCTCACTGACCTCCAAGGAGTACTGGATCCGAGAAGGCATCTCAAAAATAAGTGTCTCCATTAGCTTTAGAAGGGATTGCAGGGTCTCCCTGTACAAATCCTGAGGGGAGAAGAGAGAACTCAAAGAATTGCTGAGATGTCAGCCCCATCCCTCCTTCTAAACTTAGCTCAGTGCTCTAGCTCTCCCAGGAAGCTTTCCTTGAGAAATTCTGCTCCATAGTTTCCCCTAACATTTAAAGTGCCATTTGTCTCCTATTAACTTGACCCAATTCTTCTGTTGTTTTCAGCAGAGCACAAATGTCTGCCTGATGTGCAGTTTGTCCTAGTGGACTGGGAGTTCCCAGCTTACCCCAAACATGGGCAAATCCTGTCAAAATACCTTCCCTCTCTAACTATACCTACACTGAGGAAGGCCTCATGGGAATACAACCAGAGGAAACCCATCTCAGCCTTCTCTGTATGTACCATACAGAGAATGGTACATAATATAAATAATATAATATAAATAAATATGAACTTCATAATATAAAAAAATATGAACTGACAAAGAAGGATCACCAGACAGCTGAAGAAGAGGCCCAAACAGACCAACTGACCCTCAAAAAAGCTAAACTAATTCAGTAAATAGAAACTTCTATTTTTAAAGATTCTTACTAATACCCTCAAAAAAAATCAAGAGTTTATGGCATCAATAAAACAAGAACAACCAATCAAGATAAAGGAGTAATCAGAGAACATGAAAGCATTCCTAAGAATTAAACATACAAATGCAATTAGTAAAGTGAATTGCTCTTCCTTCCCTCAAGGAAACACTAGAGGCTCTGTGGGAAATGGATTCAGCTCTCTTGCACCTGGGACTCTCTAAACTTATTTATCCATGCACCTTTAGTAAAATCATGTCTGAACCTTTCAAACTGGTTTCAATTGTATAACAGTTAAAAATTAGATTTGAGTGTCCACTTCTGGGCCAGAATTTTAAAGTATGACAGCATTAATCAATGAGTGCTCTCAAGAAAGAAGTACATATCATGAGGAACATTCAGACTATATGACCTGGTAACCTCTTCAGATGATTGCATTTTTATCAAAGAGGGTAGAAGAGCCTTATGTGTAACTGCCAAACCTATACTTCTCATCTTCTCAATAAAAAAAAAACAAAAAACAAAAAACAAAACTGAATACAAAGAGACAAACATCAAAGAGTTCATTACCACAGTGTCTTCGGCCTCCCGGGAACTGGATGCCTCCTTCAGCAAAACTTCTGTGGGTGGCAGGCAGAGCACACTCTTACAGCATGTTCGGAGAAGATCTGTTCTTTCTTCCACCTCTATGAGGGGACTGAGATTTCTACAATCCAGGAGGAAGTAGCAAAAATGTAATGAAAGAGTAATGCCCAGGAATAACAGCTGAGGACGATTCAGAGAGGGACAGGTGGCAGTAAGAAGTTACCAGAAGAAAAAGAAACAAAAGAAGAAAAAGGAAACAGTAAACAAAGTTTATCAATGCCAGGAATAGCCCTGAAAGCAGAAGAAAGCCTGAACCAGAAGCAACTGCAAATGCCTGTGAAGATGAGAGAGGTGGTCTCTGCCAGGAGCTCCAAAATCCCATCTAAAAAAATCTTGGTGAAAGGAGGTGGCAGATATTGTATGGTGGATGTATACTACTGCCTGGGGCCCCCTGTGACTAGAAGCAGAAGCAGAAAATGAGGTGGGGACAGACTAGGGAATAAAGGACTGAAATCCACTCAAAGCACGAAGACAGAGTGGCTGGAATACCCATTACCTGAAGTCAGTGATGATATTCATCGCCCTCAGCCTAACGGAGCTGGAGATGGAATTCAATGGCTCCTCCCTGATTAACTCCTGTAATACACCCATCCAACCCCCGACCCCAGAGACCAAGAGGATATGAACATATTTTTCTTGCCTTCTTCCCCCTCCTCTCACCCCACACTGTATTCACAAGAAACTAGAACCTAGAATTTTCAGGGACTTCCAAAAACTCTGAAGGACAGCCCTTCTCTCCTACTCCCAAGCATACCTTCCCCACAGTACTCACACCCACCCTGAGGATAGGAAAGGGAACAATAAAGTAGGAAAAGGACACTGGAAAATCTGGACTTTTCTCCTCCAGGCCAAGCCCAGGAGCACTGCCCATGGTTTCCCTGAGGACCCACCCTCCCTCCTCCGTGCATTTCCACCATCATCCTCCTGAGTTGTACTTACCACCATGAAGGTTACAATTTCTAGTTTCCGAACAAACTTGAACTGAAAGGCCATGGGCTGGCTGCTAATGATGCTTGTTAGCTTGCTCAAGGCGCCCAGGTACTCCAGCTTCAGGTTCTTATCCTGAATCAATCGGTATGCTCAGGGGTTTCCAAGGTAGGAATGATCTTGGGTTAAGGAAAACTACCTACACAAAATCTGGGAGACAAGAAGCTAAGGCTTCCATAGCTTTCTCTAGGCTGAGATCTTGCCTCTTCCCTCTGAGGATCGCTTAGGAAAGCAAAGCCTGTGGCCTCTTTATGGAGGAAGAGGCCACCCCTCTTACCGACCTCTTTCTGGAGTTCCCACCTCATACTAATCTTAAGTTAGGACCAACCTAGCTAGCTTTCTTATCACTCAAGTTATTGTCTTTTTACCAAGTAAGTTCTCCTGAAAAATGTCTAGTTGGATGGTAAATGAACAGGAGTTGGGAAAGGCTTCTTCTCCTACCCTAGGGGCACATTTTCTGGACAAATGAAAGAGGTAGGAAAATTCTTTAGGGACTCCTTCTTACCTCCCCTAAAGGAACTGCAATAGCCCCACCCCCCTTGTTCCATCCAAGGCCAGGCATTTTCTTGGAGGGGAATGGTAAAGAAGGCAGGGAGGGGACACTGGAGAAGTAGAGTAAGCAGGAAGTACCTTTTCGACAACGCAGTTGCGGTAGTGTTGGAGCGCCAAAGCCAGGATGTTGTCCAAATGCGTGACGATGCCTCCCTTGCTCTCGAAAATGATCTTGCTGTAGCTTAAGTAGATGATGTTACAGACCAACCCCCATTCTCTTTGCTGATGTTCCTGTAGGAGGAATGGGGAAACTTGCCTTCTCTTCCTCTTAACCTCCTTGCCTGATGGGGAAACGGAGGTTCAGAGAGGAATGGATTGGCTAGATGGCCCAGAAGGGAAGATGGGGTTGTGGAATGGTGAACAGCTGGGAAGAAGGTGGTGCCGCTGGTGATACCAGGGCCTGAAGCATGGGCATAAGGGAGCACAGGAAAGGGAGAAGAAGATGAAACTTCCCCACAGTTGATCAGAGGGAAATACAAGCATTTAGGAGTCACAAGGCCTCAGAGAAGTGGGAAGTCTGGAGTGATGGGGATGCTTCAGAAGGCTCTGTGTGGGAGGCTGGCAGAGTTCCCAGGAATGCCATCACCTTCATTAGTTTGAGGATGAATGATGAGCCCTTGTCCGTGAGGATTGCACTGTACTCTTGAAGTTGGTCCAGGACTATCTTTAGATACTTCATGGACACGATACTCAGTGCCGTAGCAATGCCCTGTAATGGGGATAGCCTCAACCTCGTGCCACAGCTAAGAGTTAGCCAGGCACCCTTTATGCTCTCCCAAACCCAGGGATTTAGAGAGGAAGGGAGAGAGAGGGGAAAGAAAAGAAATAGAAGGAAAATTGGTTCCCCTGACTTGAACTACTTAAAATCCAGATGGAGAACCAAACATCCTTGCAAGAAATAATTCAAGAAGCAAATTACAAGAAACAGACTCTTAAATACAGAGAACAAACTGATGACTACCAGAGCAGAGGTCGGTGAGGCAATGGGGGAAATAGGAGATGGGGATTAAAGAGCAGACTTATAATTAAAAAAAAAAAAAACTTCCAGAAAATAGATAATTAGATAGATAGATAGACAGACAGATAAAGAGGCACAGGTTATGTCAAAATTAAAGAGTCTGATTTTTTTATTTTTCATACTAATTGACAACATCCAGAAAAGCCTTTACTGAGTATCATGGACCAGAGGAGAACCATGCCCTGAAAAACATTTGTGAACAGTGGGTCCTATGTATATAAATTCCTCTGTGAATTCAGTAGAGATTTGTTTGGTACTTAATGCATGGGGGGCGGGAAGAAGCAAATTATCATAGATTGTGAAAAATTAGTGTCACAGATTTGCAAAACCTTAGGAGTATCAAATCAAACACTGCAGAATAGAGAAGATTTATATGCACTAGTAATTCAATGAAGGGTTTTGAGGAGGGGAGAGAAGGGAAGAACAAAACCAAGGCATGTTATCGACAGGATTGGATGGATAATCAGAGGAAATGGAAAAGAGAGAAGACATACAGATAATGCCAATATTTTTAACTCAGGAGAACAGGAAACAGCAGTAATTGACCAAAAGGGGCAGGTGGAAAGGGCACCTGTCCAGGGCTGGGGAGAAAGGAAGGAGGGAGTTCCTGCATGTGTCTTGTGGGACATAGTGGAAGGACAACTAAGTGAAAAATACTGTAGGTGGATACTGAGCATCTCCACCTGGCTCCCTACGGGCACCCTGATGTCTCCCCATCAAAATCTGAATGCGTCATCTTCCTCCCCATTATGTCTTCCTTTCCTGATCTCAGTGAAGGACACCACCTCCCAGCTGAGCATGCCTGAAACCAGGGAACTATCCTGAACATCCTCTGCCCTCTTAATCGTTACCCGCTGTATCCAATCTGTCCCCAGGTATTGGCAGAGAGGTCGTTTGTACTTCCCTGGTATAGACCCACTATATCACTGACTATTCTGTAAACATGCTCCCAAAAGTTCTTGTCTTGGAATATTATGTCAAGTAGGAATATCCACTTCCCCCCTTCTAATCTAGACCCAACTAGCCCAAGTCCTCACCCACCCATACATCAGCAACTATATGTCTCTATTACCACTCATATTGCCTTTAGTAAGGCTATTCTGTGTAGCCAGCTCTCTTCTTCTTATATAAGTCTGTCTCCTCAGTGATACTGTTCCAACCTTGGGCTTGGAATATAACTGATGATAGTCATGATGGTGATGGGTGCTGTGAGAATCTGGCAGGGAAGGGGCATTGGAGAGGGGATGCTTGAGAGGACGGCCACCAATTCTACCAGTAAGCAACACGTAGAGAGCGCTTGTGTCCCAGGCATTGTTATCAGAGCTTGTACATTTTTAATACTGAAAACCACCCTAAAAATGACACACAGATTCCATAGTATTCCCATATGAAATAGATAATCTAAACCTAATCATGAATAGGAGACAAAAAAAAATTAGCTACATTCTACAAAACAAATGGTCCATACATTTTTAAATGTCAAGATCATGAAAAATAAAAGTTGAGGAGTGGTTCCAGATTAAAAATATTAAAGCTAAATGATAAATTGATTCTAAATTGGATCCCAACCAGAGGGGGAAAAATGTCTTTTGCTCTAAAGAAACATGGGCAGGACAATTGGCCATTTTCAGATCATGTCTATAAATTAGATAATAGTACTGTAGCAATGTTAACTTCTTAATTTTGATCACTGTGCTTTGATTATGTAAGAGAATATCATTATTTTTAGGTAGTACACCCTGAAAATGGATAAATGTGCATGACTGCAACTTCCTGAAATGATTCAGAAAATAAAATAATAATAGTAAATAGCTTGCCCAAGTGCACACAGTGAGAAAGTGGCAGACCTAGGATTCCAACAGGTTGTCTAGCTTGCCAGATCTCAGCTTTTAACTACTTCGTCATCCTGCCTCTTAAAGGAAAAAATGTTTCTTTCCCCTTTGCCAGTTCCTCCACCTCACCTCCCTCTCCCGCATATCTTCATGGACACTTTGTAGAATAGAGGAAAGCATCGTCTTCACCAGTTTCATATTCCTTGAGGTCCGCAAGGTAAATCCAAAGAATTTATACAGAAAAGCCTAGGGGGGTGAAAGGGCAGGGTCATGCATAGCTTGGAATGAAATTAGGGTAGCTTGGGGAATAGCCATTACCCAAACTGGTTTTGAAACGGTCAGCCAGCACCTTCCCCACTGCCCTATCCTCCACCCTGGCCCTCCTGTTCTCTGAGGGTCATCTGGATAAGACAGTAACCCTAGAGAGCAGGGGCTAAAGCTAGAGATAAGAGAAAGCTGTATTTCTAATTTCTCAGCATCTTAGGGTACAGATCACCCCTTTAGGAACTTTCCCTGATCCATATAATTCCTATTTCCAGCTAGAAAATAAAACGTTCCTTACATCAATGTTTTACCATTTTCAGAGTACAGATCTTTCACCTTCTTGGTGAAGTTTATTTATACGTATTTTATAATTTTTGGTGCAATTGTAAATGAGATTATCTTAATTTCTCTTTCCGATGCTTCATTAAGTGTAAAGAAATGCAACAGATTTATGTATATTATTGTTGTATCTTTCACTCAATTCATTTATCAGTTTCATGGAATTTTTAGGATATTCTGTATATAACATCATGTCATCTGCAAATAGTGGAAGTTCTATCTCTTCCTTGCCAACTTGAATGACTTTTCTTTCTTTTTCTTGTCTGATTGCTATGGCTAGGATTGCCACTACTATGTTGAATAAAAGTGGTGAGAGTGGACCTCCTTATCTTGCTTTTTGATCTTACGAGGAAAGCTCTCAGTTTTTCACCATTGAGTATGATGTTAGCTCTGGGTTTTTCATGTATGGCTTTTCTTATGTTGAAGTATGTTCTCTCTAAACTTAGCCAGCTGAGAGTTTTTATCATGAATGGATGTTGTACTTTGTCAAATGCTTTGTCTACTTCTATTGAGATGATCCTATGGTTTTGATCCTTTCTCTTGTTAATGTGATCTAACATGTTGATGAATTTGTGAATACTGAACCACCCTCACATCCCTGGAATAAATTCCATTTGTTTATGGCGAATGATTTTGGATTTTGTTTGTTAATATATTGCCGAGCATCTTTGCATCTATGTTCATCAGAGATCTTGGCCTGTGGTTTTCTTTTTTTATAATTTTTTATATTTTTTTTATCTGACTTTGATCAGGATAATGACACTAAAAAATGGAAAGATATTCCATGCTCATGGATTGGAACAATCAATATTGTTTAAATGTCCATATTACCCAAAGTAATCTACAAACTAAGGCAACTCCCATCAAAATACCAACAACATTTTTCACAGAACTAGAATAATCCTAAAATTTGTCTGGAATACAAAAAACAGACAAACAAAAAACCAAAAAAGTAAATAAACAAAAAACCCAAATAGCCAAAGCAGTCTTGAATAAGAACAGGCTAGAGGTATCACAGTCCCAGATTTCAAACTTTATTACAAAGCTGTAGTAATCAAAACAGTATGGTACTGGCCAAAAACAGACACATAAATCAATGTAACAGAATAGAAAGTCCATAAGCAAACCCATGCTTTATATGGTGGGTCAATTAATCTATGACAAAGGAGGCAAGAATATACAATGGGAAAAAGACAGTCTTTTCAACAAATTGTGTTGTGAAATCTGGATAGCCACATGCAAAAAAAAAAAAGAAACTAAACCACTTTCTTACACCATACACGAAACTAAACTCAAAGTGGATTGAAGACATAAATGTCTCCATTTGGAACCATAAATTCTTTTTTTTTTTCAAGATTTTTATTTATTTGACAGACAGATCACATGTAGTTAGAGAGGCAGGCAGAGAGAGAGAGGAGGAAGCAGGCTCCCCGCTGAGGAGAGAGCCCAATGCGGGGCTCGATCCCAAGACCCTGAGACCATGACTCAAGCTGAAGGCAGAGGCCTTAACCCACTGAGCCACCCAGGTGCCCCTGGAACCATAAATTCTTAAAAGAAAACATAGGCAGTAATTTCTTTGACATCAGCCATAGAAACATTTTTTTAAGCTATATCTCCTCAGGCAAGGGAAACAAAAGCAAAATTAAACTGTTGGGACTACACCAGAATAAAAAGCTTCTGCACAGTGAAGGAAACCTCCAACAAAACCAAAATATAACCTATTGAATGGGAGAAGATATTTGCAAATGTTATATTTGATACGGAGCTAATATCCAAAATATATAAAAAAAAAAACTTGTACAACTTGACACCAAAAAAGCAAATAATCCAATTAAAAAATGGTCAAAGGACCTGAATAGACATCTTTCCAAAGGGGACATATAGATGGCTAGTAGACACACGAAAAGATCCCCAACATCATTAATTATCAGGAAAATGCAAATCAAAACCACAATGAAATATCATTTTACACCTCTCAAAATGGCTAAAAATCAAAAATGCAAGAAATAACAAGAGTTTGTGAAGATGGAGAGAAAAAAGAAACCTGTGTCCTGTTGGTGGGAATGCAAGCTGGTGGAGCCATTGTGGAAAATAGTACAGATGTTCCTTGAAAAACTAAAGATAGACTAACCACATAGTCCAGCAATTTCACTACTGGGTATTCACCCAAAGAAAATGAATACACTAATTCAAAAAGATATATGCCCCCGATGTTTATTGCCGAATTATTTATTTACAATAGCCAAGAAATGGAACCAACCCAGTCCATTGACAGAGGAATGGATAAAGATGTGGAATGGAATATTATCAGCCATGAAAAGAATGAAGTCTTGCTGTTTGCAACCACATGGGTCAATCTAGAGGGTATAATGCTAAGTGAAATAGAAAAAGACAAATATGACACAATTTCACTCAGATGTGGAATTTCAGATATGAAACAAACAAACAGAAAAAAAGAGGCCAACAAAAAAAAAGTCTTAAACACAGAGAATAAATTGGTGGTTGCCAGAGGGAAGGTGGGTACGGGGACTGAAGAGTACACTTACTTTTTTTTTTTTTATAATTTTTTTAAAAAATATTTTTATTTATTTATTTGACAGAGAGAGATCACAAGTAGGCAGAGAGGCAGGCAGAGAGAGAGGAAGGGAAACAGGCTCCCTGCTGAGCAGAGAGGCCGATGAGGGACTTGATCCCAGGACCTTGAGATCACGACCAGAGCCGAAGGCAGAAGCTTAAACCACTGAGCCACCCAGGTGCCCCAAGAGTACACTTACTTTGATGAGTACCAAGAAATGTATAAAATTGTTGAGTTACCATATTGTACATCTAAAACTAATATAAAATTGTTGGTTATACTTGAATGAAAAAATAAGTTAAAAAAACAAATAAATAAATTTTAATAGCAAAGATTCACTTGAAAAAATTAAAAATAAAAAGTTCCGAGCGCCTGGGTGGCTGAGTAGGTTAAGCCTCTGCCTTTGGCTCAGGTCATGATCTCAAGGTCCTGGGATCAAGTCCCTCATCGGCCTCTCTGATTGGCAGGGAGCCTACTTCCTCCTCTCTCTCTCTGCCTGCCTCTCTGCCTACTTGTGATCTCTGTCAAATAAATAAATAAAATCTCAAAAAAAAATTCCTTAAATTTGCATAATTTAAAAATCAAAATAGCATAATCAAAAAAAGTATTTTTATGTAGTCTTTGTGTCTCCCTCTTCTGAATTTTAGCAGCCTTGATTCTTGCTTACTGTGCATTGCCCTGTCTACCTTGTAATATCCATATTTATGTACTCAAACACTTTCCTGCCTCAAGGTTTCCATATTTCCCATTTCCCCTGTCTGGAATCTTCCCTGGGTTGTTCAAAATGCTGTCTCACTCTCATCTTTTTGATCCTGGCTCAGTGAACCTTCCTTGACCTCCTAAATTCCTCTCTAAGCTCACCATCCTGATACTTTCATTCAAGGCTTCATCACAATCACTAGTCATCTTGTTCATGCATTTGTTTGGTTAATTCTTAACTCGCCCCAACCTCTCATCTCCAGTGATAAATAAAGCTCAGGAGCAGTGTACGTCTTGTTCTTTGCTCTACTCCAGTACTTACAGAGTGCCTGACACAGTAGACAGACAGGGTATCCCACATGTTCAAGGAACATGTCACCTCTCCCCCTAGAACCTCCTCTCGACGGGCACTTTTTCTTCCTCTAGCAGATGCTCTTCAAGCCTTATCCAGAGCCGAAGTTTCCTTCGCTTCCCTGGCTGTGGGCACCATTGTGAGCAGTTCCCACCTGCAGTCTTTTTGGGTCCCTTTGCCTGGAGACGCATGAGAGTTACATCCTTCTCTCTCCCATCCCCGCCCCTTAACAACCATAGATGCCTGGCACCGGTGACAGAGAGGTGGAGGGGTGGGGAGGTACAAAAGCCACCCCCCTCACTTGTCTCTAAGCAGGATAGACTCTACAGTGTAGTTTCCATCCAGATCTCCCCACGTCCTTTCTTAGCCTCTCCTCTTCTATCCTGAGTCCTTTACCTGACCACAGCTTCTCCTGAGAGCACTTTCTTGCCAAATCACTTGACAAGGACCCTCACCTTAGGCTCTGCTTCTATGAAACCTGACCTGAGGCACCTGGCTCTCTGCTTAGCTGGCAAATGACTGCTTAGCTGGCACACTACTCATCTTCCCAGACTTAATCATTTGTCTGTAGAGTGACAAATCTTCCCAGTTTGCCCAGTACTGAGGCATTTCCTAGTATGCCGGACTTCTTTTTTTTAAGATTTTATTTATTTATTTGACAGACAGAAATCACAAGTAGGCAGAGAGGCGGGGGGGGGGGGGGCGGGGGAAGCAGGCTCCCTGCTGAGCAGAGAGCCCAATGCGGGGCTCTATCCCAGGACCCTGAGATCATGATCTGAGCCGAAGGCAGACGCTTTAACCCACTGAGCCACTCAGGGGCCCCAGTATGCTGGACTTTTAAAGCTAAAACCAGGACAGTCCTAAGTGAACTGAGATGGTAGACCACCTTTGAGAAAGTTTTTCTGGCCAGCCCCATCGGGCCAAGAAAATAGCTCTCCCCTCTGCTCCCAAGCATACAGCGCACATTCCAATCTCGACAATTACCGCACTCATAATAATCCACTCTCTCCTCTGCTTACTCAAGCGGTGATTTCCTGAAGGTAGAGTCTGTGCCTTTTGTGTGAGTACCCTGTGCCTAGTCTATGCCTGCTGCGCCATAAGCATTTGTACATATTTTTAATAACTTAATTAATAAGATCAGGATCCCTGCTTGCTTCATTCTTCCATCCACAAAGCTTTGCACGTAGCAGGTGCTTCATAAATATTTGTTAATAATTAGAGAGCTAATATTCAGTCTTGGAAATAAGGCCTCTTCCCTGGAGATCCCTCAAAGCCCAAATAAAATGTTGCTTGGCGACAGGAAAACAAGATTAAAAATGAAGAAACCTGGGATTCAGGTGCCAATTTTACCAATAAATTGCTTAAGGCTCTAAATCCCTCTAGATTAGGTTTCTCCATCTGGGAGTCGGGATAATGAGTCGTCTGGTTACTTGGTCTTTTGAATTTTACAAAGCAACTGCACAGGTGTCTTTGTCTATCCTCACCCACTCTCCTGTGATCGGAAGTCATTTCTGCTACTGCCCAAGTGAGGCGACTGAAATCTCACAAAGGCTAAGACACTTACCCAGACTGCACCAGGAGTACAGGAAAAGCCAGGACAGGAATGAGGCCTTCACCAGAACAGACCTTGAGGTCTGTGAGCAAAGGAGCCTCTTTCCTAGTCAGCTCTGCAACTCCAACATCACATATACTCCCTGATCCATAGTATGACCTCAAATATCACTTGAACTAACTTGCTTCAATCTGACCCTTAGGTCAATGATCTTTCCACTGCACCAAATACCAGCTCTATTCTTTGACCTCTGAATGACTGGGAGGTTCAGTTAAGACAACAGATGGCAAAGTTCTTGATAAAACCTTAAACACGGGATGCCTGGGTGGCTCAGTTGGTTGGGCAGCTGCCTTCGGCTCAGGTCATGATCCCGGCATCCTGGGATCCAGTCCCACATCGGGCTCCTTGCTCAGCAGGGAGCCTGCTTCTCCCTCTGCCTCTGCCTGCCATTCTGTCTGCCTGTGCTCACACTCTCTCTCTCTCTCTGACAAATAAATAAAATCTTTAAAAAAAAACAAAAACAAAACAAAACACCTTAAACACTAAGCAAATGTTAAGACATTGATATTTTTGCTGTTTCTGTGTGACCGCTAGCTCCTGGTACGCTCCATCCTTCCATTCCCCGGGGCCCAGAAACATGGGCTGGGTTTTCCCACGAGGCCTGTCCTTCGTGTACATTTCTGTACTCCTTCCCCACCAAACTCCTCCACACCAGCCTCTATCCCCACTTCCCTCCTTGCAACTACCACCAGCTGCCTGATATGCCCACCTGTGCGCGTGCGCACACACACACATACACACACACACCTTCTCCTCACCATCGCTGAAATAATTTATCCTCTCCAAGACAACCTTGATGAGTTGCTCCAGCCAGCTGTCATCATTGATGGCCACTAACGACTGACTTGAAAACTGAGTAAGAGGAAGGGAGAAGAGGACCACACAGAGCAGTGGCTGGGCTTTTCTGCCTCATGGAAGGGGTCAGAAAGAAGCAAGAGACAAGGGGGCATGGTCTGTGAATATGAAAAAAGAGCTCAAGAAATGGGGAAGAGCTGAGATACATAGGGGGGGTTAGTCAGGGCTAGAGAATAACAATATAGAAACAATGATGGTAATGCCAACTCTATGTGTGGAACCCTTTATAGTTTGCAAGGCTCTCCTTTTCCTGTACTATCCTATTTAATTCTGGGAGATGGAAGTTATTTCCATTTTGCAGATGAAGGAGCTGAGGCCGGCAAAGGCTAAATTACTTGCCCAAGGACACAAAGCTAGGGCCCCATTCCCATACTCTCTCTTGACTGTACAATTTTGAGGGTGTGGAAGGTAAGATAAAGTCTAGGATATAGTCAGAGATTCCAATGTAGAGGCCGGGAGTCCTCTCAGAACCTCAGAAAGAGGTTCTCTTGAGTAAGGAGGTCCCTTGATCATGTCTCTAGCTCAGGGGGTCTGGGGCCTCTTCTCTTTAAGGATCCTAAAGAGGGGAAGGAAGGCAAGTGTGGAGAATGGTATGTCTCTTAGAGTGCGTACCTGGAGCAGCCTGTCCTCCCACTCCTCCTGATCCAGATTCTTCTTAGTGTGATCTAGGAAAGAAGAGAGTTATAGGGACCTGCCAACCAGAAGGCCCCAGCCAGGGAAAAAGAACCAACATTTGAACACCATTCCAAGGGGTTTTTGCCCATCATCTCATTTAATTTTGATCGCGATCCTACAAGATAATTGTTCCCCCTTCTTTACAGAGGCTCCAGGAAATGTATGACTTTTCAAAGGTCAAACATACCCAGCTGGCAAATGTTAGAGCAAGGATACGAACTTGGGTCTCTGTTTCCAAAACCCATACTCTTTCCCAATCCTCTGAGCACAAGAAAGAGCGTTCTGGGAAATCTGGAGGCGCAGAACTCTGGGCTGCATATCTGCTCAGTGCAGAACATGGTCCAAACAAGCAGACCTACCCAAATGGCATCTCAGAAAGACAGAGAGACTGGTCCTGGTTCTCCTCACCCCAGGGAAGATCCATCCTGCACCTCGGGACTTCATCTCTTCTGGATTCTGCCCCAATGCCCCAGCTCCATTCCTCCTACCTCTCAGCCAACCCCTCACCATCCAGAATCTGCAACATCTGGGGGATCTTCTTCATCCACAGCTGGCCCACACTTGAGTTGATAACAGGGTGCAAGGAGGTGATAGGATGCAGGGCATGTAGTAGCCTTAGAGAGCTTATCCCAAGCTCCCTTTCACTATAGGACTTCAGGGAAAACACCTGAGAAACGAGAGAAGCAAGCAGGAGGCAGAGAAAGGATTGAAGGGAAGAGAAGGAAGAAAATCAGAACAAACCCACAGAATGGTAGAGCTGAGGCTTAGACCCTTCCTATTCTCCTCCACCTGTGAACTCCGACATGCTCTGCATGGTGCTCTCAAAACGTTGCCTCCTCTCGGAATCCTGGAGACCAAGTCTGCCCCTTGCTCTACTAAGATCCCATCGTAACTTACGGGTTCCTCTAGTAGCATCTATCACACTGCATTCTGGGTGGTTATTCCCAGGCTTGTCTTTCCCACTAAGTCTGTGAACACTTCAAGGGAAGTTCTATACCTTGTCTTTCCAAGTGTCCATAATGTCTAGAACATTCTCAAAGCATTCTTGCTGAGAAAATGAGATCCAGAAAGGCATGCAGACTTGCCCAAGATCAGCAGAGAACAGCTCACCATAAGGCCACACAGGACACAGGTCAGGCCCTCCCCAGCCTCACCCCTTCCTCATCTTCAGGTCTCAGCACTATGGTCCCAATCCTATCCTCCAAGATGTTTGATCATCTCTCCCCAAAGCCCCTATGCTCTTTGACCCTACCCCTTATTCCATGCCTAGCTCAATAGCTTAGTACTCAACTATTTGTGGAATGAGGAGATGGATGGATGGATGGATGGATGGACAGTATTCATCCTCTACATTTATCACTTACCACAAGATGGGTCAGAAGTTTCTGTGGGGAGATGAACTGGGTAGCTAAATTAAAGAGAGAATAAAAGAAGAGGACAGAGTCAGTGTCAGCTCCAGGATGACCAACCTTTAGCCCCTTCTCCCACCCAACAGCCCACCACCCATTCTTCAGGGCAGGAGAAAAAGCAAAGTGGAGAGCGATTATCGGTGCCATTGCTATGGGGATTGTGACATTCTGACTTACCCTAAAAACAGACCATTTTCAGTGTAAGACATACACACACACACACACACACACCCCTTCTACCTGTCAGAATGGCTACCATCGAAGACAAAAAATAAAAAGTATTGGCAAGAATATGGAGAAAAAGGGGACGCCTGGGTGGCTCAGTTGGTTAAGCGGCTGCCTTCACCTCAGGTCGCGATCCCAGCGTCCTGGGATCGAGTCCCACATCGGGCTCCTTGCTCGGCGGGGGCCTGCTTCTCTCTCTGCCTCTGCCTGCCACTCTGTCTGCCTGTGCTCGCTCTCCCTCTCTCTCTCTCTGACTAATAAATAAATGAAATCTTTAAAAAAAAAAAAGAATATGGAGAAAAAGGAACCCTCGTGCCCTGTTGCAGGGAAAACAAACTGGTGCAGCGACTGTGGAAAGCAGTACGGAGTTTCCTCAAAAAACTAAAAATAGAAATCTCATACAATCTAGTAATTCCACACTGGTCATTTACCGAAAGAAAACAAAAACACTAATTTGGAAAGGTACAGGTGCCCTTCTGTTTACTGCAGTCTATTTACTGCAAGAGCCAAGACATGGAAGCAGCCCAAGTGTCCGTCAATAGATGAATGGATCCAGAAGAGGTGGTCTGCACACACAGACAAACACACACAAGGAATATTACTTGGCTATAAAAAGAATATCTTGCCATTTATGACAACTTGGATGGAACTCGAAAATGTTATCCTAGGTAGAAGTTTGACAAAGAAAGACAAATACCGTAGGATTTCACTTATGTGCGGAATCTACAAAACTAAACACATGAACAAACAAAAATAGAAACAGAAAGAGAACCATAAATATGGAGAACAGACAGATGGCGGTCAGAGGGGAGGGATGGGCAAGACAGGTCAAGGGGAGGAAGAGGTACAAACTTTCAATTTTAAAATAAATGTCACGGGGATGAGAAGTACAGAATAGGGAATGTAATGAATAATCTTGTGATGACACTTATGGTGACAGATGGTGACAACACTTATCGTGGTGAGCATACAGTAATGTACAGATTGTCAGATCACTAATATTTTTAAGGATTTTTAAAAAAGATTTTATTTATTTATTTGAGGGGGGAGAGTAGAGAGAGAGAAGAAAAGGGAGAGGCAACCTCCTTGTTGAGCCAAGAACCTGACACGGGGCTCGATCCCAGGACCCTGAGATCATGACCTGTGACAAAGGCAGACACTTAACTGAGTGAGCCACCCAGGAGCCCCCATACAGAACACTGTATGTCACTTATACCACAATAAAATGATTTAAATAGAGAGACAGACTAGGGAAGAAGGGCATTGTCCAGCGGAAGCATGGTAAACAGTTACCACTCATGAGTGTGTCCTATTAGTTTATACCTTGAAAGGCTCTCCCACTATCCTGAGAAGTTCTTATCCAGGCACACATTTTCATGCCTTTCATATTTGAAAATCCTAGGTCTACCTTTTAAATGTCTGCTGTTTACACTGATTATAATCAGGACTCTCTCAACACTGGGAAAGTCATTTGCTACCTCTCCTCCTTTTAAACCCTAACAGAGAATGCTTATTTTCCAAACACACAAACACCCACACACCCCAAGTAATGTGCCGAACAGATAGCCTCACCCCGACTCTGACTCCCCCTGGAACTAGCGGTCAGGGATCGGGTGAGCAAAGAGTGAGGCTCAGAGTCGGGGCAAAGAACTAAGGGTCAGGAACGTCTGTGTACGCGTTACTTTGTAATTAACAACAAAGTTTGTACATCTCTACTCCAGTGTTTCAAGACGAGGAATAGAGGAAAAAGGATCTGTTGGGGTGAGGGCCGGGGGGGGGGGGCTCTTGCCTCTCTTCCAGAAGAATCCCCTTTTCATTCATGTAAAGAGCCAAATGGCATCAAGCTGCTGCCCTAACCCTTTGCCTTCCCCCTCCGTCCAGGCCCAGGCTCACAGCTGTGCTCTCCTGGCCTTCCCAGCAGATCTGCACCCTCTCCCCACACCCATGACCCCTCCAGAGTCCCAGTCCCTCTCCCACCCTCCCCTCCCGCCTGTGGCAGCCTGTTTCACAACTGTCCCCTCTCCACGGTCTCCTTGACCTGTGTACTTACGGCTGAGGTGAAAGCTGCTTAGATAAGGAACCTGGCCCAGGGACCGGGCCTTCAGAGCCATGTTTGTGGCTGTCTTACTCAGCAGCACGAAGGCCAAGGTATTGCTGGGCTGGCAGGCCAAGGTGATCAGTTTGGGCAAGGACACCTGGCAGAAGAGGTGGCAAGGGGATTCGATGTCAAGCTCCAAATCAGTCCCAATCATAAGTTCTCTAACCCTATGGCTTTGTCCTCCTTTCTTGGAGGGGCATTTGAGACCTGTATACACAGCCCCCTCCATCTCATTCATAATCCCCCTTCCCTCTCCCCCTTCTCCTCCTACCCCCTACATGTTGCTAAAACACAACCAAGGTCCTGATGAAAATTACAACAGGAAGGACTTGATTAAATAGAGGGGCTTCTTGAAATGTGGAATTGTGTGACTTGTCATCGCCTTCACAGGGGGGCATTCCGGGGGCAAAAGACATGCTAGCCGTCAGGAGACAGCTTGCCGGGAGGGAGAGGGGGGTGTTTGGGAAGAAGAGTAAATCACAGCTGTCCTTTGCTTCCCACAGCCCCTGACTCAGCTCTGACCCACACAACAACTCGTAGAGTCTCCAAGAATCCTTAGAGGCTGCTAAGAGCGGGCAGAGTGGATAATCGCCTGTCTTTTTTAAAGAGAGAAACTATAGCCTGGAGAGCAATTTACTCGAAATTTTATAGCCAGAAACAGGCTGAGCAAGACCCAGGCTCAGGCCTCCAGGTTTACCACCCAGTGACCCTCTGCTCCACTGAGCCACTTCTCAGAGGAGCCCCAGACACTCGAGTGGGAACAGACAGAGGTGGGGAGGGTAGAAGGGACAGTACAGGGGGTTAGGTGGAGTGGGGGGAAGAGGGGAGACAGAGAGAAGGCAATCTGGGGGTCAGGGTATCTGGGCAGCCAGGAGAGGAGGAGATGAAGGAGCCTCTTTGACCCTAGCTGCTTGTACCATCTGTAGGATTTCGGAACACATTAGTTGGATGTCCTCTTCATTCTGGAATAGGAAAAGATTTAAATCTGAAACCAATGCTAGCGGAGTCTTCTGGTTCAAGGCCTTCCCTGCCTCACTGCTCAGAGTTTTAGACACCAAAGCCCCTTCCCACTGTGCCAACGATTCCCTCTTCTTCTTTCCCTTCTGCTCCCAAACCTGCCCTTCTCTTGCTGCCACCCTCTGTCCCCTCCCTGCCTGGCCCCTGCTCACAGAACAGGCAGACTCGCTGAGCTTGATGACATAGTTGATGACGACATTCCCCTGGGGCATGGCCAAGTAGTTATGCCGGCCCAGCATCTTGATGAAGTTCAGGAGGGCCTTCCGCACCTGTGGGGGGTAGTTTGGGGGGGGGGGGGTCACCTATCACGTGACAAGATAGGAAGGCACATCAGTATGACCCTTCATGTTCCAGGTGAGAACACAGAGGACAAGAGCCTGTGACAGGAGTCTTCAAGGGACTCAGATCTCCCAGCTTCAAGCCCAGTGTGACTCTTCACTGGTCTCTAGGTGATGACAGACAACCCTACTCGACCCTAAAGTTCTAGCCTATTTCAGTTCTTACCATTATCCTGAAGAACTATAAGCACTGAGCTTGCCCAAGCCTTACATAAGATAAGTAATGGACAGAAGTGTTGGGTAGGGAGAAATCAGAGTCCAGGAGAAGTCCCATGTTCTGGCCTTCATAGGGAAAGCCAGAAATGAATCCCACAAGTCCTGAGGGCCCAGCCCTCAAGATCCCAGTCTCTCCATCAACCTTCTGAAGATTTAGGACTTGTTTTTTAGGGATGATGCCATTGTTGTCCACCTGGCCCCAATTCAGACCTGGGAGCAGTATTTGCTGCCTCCAATCCGGGTAGAGGTTGTTAAAAATATGGTGCCACGGACCCCATCCTAGTTATGATGTTTGAGGTCTTCTTTCCCCAAGAAAACTGAATTTTTAGGGGGCAGATTTAGTATGCAGGGTGCCTGGGTGGCTCAGTGGGTTAAAGCCTCTGCCTTTGGCTCAGGTCATGATCCCAGGGTCCTGGGATCAAGCCCCACATCGGACTCTGCTCCGCGGGGAGCCTGCTTCCTCTTCTCTCTCCCTCTGCCTGCCTCTCTGTCTATTTCTGATCTCTGTCTGTCAAATAAATAAATAAAATCTTTAAAAAAAAAAAAAGAATTAGTACTCTTTAGAGCTCTGTGTCCCCACTGACAAGGCTCAGAAAATAGGTAGGAACCACCTGTCCACTTCTCAAATCCTTCTCAGGCTCCGAAGAGCTCACCTGTAACCCATGGGCAGAGTCTGAGGCCAGGGCGGGCTTGGTAAGGGGATGCCTTACCTCTCTCATCCATGAACAGCCTCCCCTCTCCATTTTATACAACTTCAAGGTCTCAAGAAAGCAACTGCCCTCCCGGCCCAAATATTCCGCCTTTCTGCTTACTGGCTTGAGATCGTCCTGAATCATGATGATGACGGAATGCATCACTTCATTCTTCAGTTGCTCTGTCTGGGGCACTAGAGAAAAGACACGCACGCAGCTGGGGATCAGTCTCCTTCCACCTCCTCTGTCGTATTGGGAGGCACAAGACAAACAGACAGGTGGGAGGAATTCCAGGTACTGTCCTGGTCTTCGAGGACCAGATAGAGCGCCCAAAGATTATCTCCACCATCCCTCTGCTTCAAACCAGACTGAAGAGTGACAAAAAACGGGATTTTCATCGAGCTGGCTTTGGAGCCCCAGCTCTTTCCAGTCTCCTACGAATGCCCACGACCCCAGTCAAGCTGTTCCCGCAATCCCCACTGCCCCATACACCACAACCTTTAAAACTATGACAACTGTTCTTCTTGATGTAAATTCCCTCTCCTAACTCACCATTACAATCTCCTTGCCTGCTCCAGAGCCCATCCCATCTCCCGACTGACCCCTTCTCCATATTCCTATTGCAAATAACCATGGTCACATTTGAACAACTTTTCACGTATTATCTTGCATTGTTTCACACTCCGAACACAATAGTGAACTCTTTGAGAGCAGGGACTATGTCTTATTTGAGTATCTGTTTCCAGTGCCTTGCACTCTGCTAGACACAGAGCAAAGGTCTAGCAAACGCTGGATTGGAGTTGAAGCTTGTTCCCCAAGATCATAATCACAGACTAAACCACTACAAAACTCACTGCATATTGGGGAATAGTCTAAGTACCTCGCATCCATTTTCTCATCTAACCTTCATTAAAAAACCCTAAAGGCAGGTACTAGCATTACCTTCATTTTCAGGTGAGGAAATAGAGGCACAGACTAAAAGCAATCTGCCCTGGTCTACACAGCTAATAAGAAGTGAAGCCAAGATTTAAACCTACTGAATTTACTTCGAGTTTACATTAAGTTTAAAACTGTGACTTGAACTATACGTGGGACTGTTTCCCAGACAAAAGAACTCTCACAGGAAAGAAGATCCCCAAGATTAGGCCAATGGCCACTCACCTTCCAGGAACACATCCATGAAAACTTGAAGGGCTGATACTATCTTGGCTGGATCACTGGTTTGCATGGTCTTTTGTATTAAGAATACCACCTGATCATTGTATAACTTGGCTATCAGAAGGGGGCAAATACAAGGGAATCAAGAGTATGTTTAACTAGCGAGTGGTAAATAGAAGTAAATCATGCTTCCAGCAAACCATGATGTCATGAACCAGATAAGTTAGGGTCCTTTAGGCTGGAGAAAAGGAAGAGGATAGGCATCTAGCTAGATGCTTTCCTTGAGCTGGGCTCTGTCCCTCCCCTGCCCCACCATGTGCCCTCCCATAGGTCAGCACGCCTCACATGATCATTAGTGTTGTAATGACAAGATCACCTTTCTAAGCTGGGATTCATTGAAGGAGAAAGGGAAGCCAGCTTCAGGTGAAGGGAGTGGAGCTACGTCTTCGCCCCTCAAGATTCCTTGAATTTCAAGTAAAGCTCACACGGATTACTTTGCATCTCTTCTAGAAGGATGGAAGCCCCTTATGGGAACCTGGGTCCCTGCTCTGGTCCAGGGAGACATGAAGGTTACTCTAAGTGCCCACCCACACAAATACCTGGGGTTAGGGAACTGTGTTAACTTACATAGGATGTAGAAAGCCTTCAGGGCAAGGATATGGTTCCGTGCAGAGTGAGGATCTGACTCCTTGACTGTTTCACTCAGCTGTGGGGAGACCAAGGCCATCAGACCCAGGAGGACTGAAATTAGGGGCCATGGGTGTGGATGGAGGAACCAAGGCACCATGGAAAGTGTGGAGCTTAGCCATAAAGGGGAATAGGAAAACAGACCCAGGAATCCACATTCCCAGCCCCAAAGAGAAGACAGTGGCAGGCAAATTAAACATACAGAAGATAACACCTATTTGCAAAATGTTCAATTACCTTCTTCTTACTCTAGGCTGCAACACAGAGGCCCTGACATTTCCCACAGACATGATGGGGTGCTTTGAACCTCTTGCCCTTTAGCCAGAGATTAGGGGGAGCAACAAAGTTCTGTGACCTTCAAGGAACACACAGAACGTACCCAATTTATCTCATGGAGAATATTCAAGTCTATGCCCAGAATCCAGACATTTATCTATTCCAGGGAAACCTGAGATGTGTATGGTTAAGGTTACCATGTGAAAGACACCTGCCTTTATGGAGGTTGTGACCTGGGCTGTGAGAGCCATCGCCTCCAAAGAAGAGAGAAAAAGCAAGCCCAGGATGCTTCTAGCCCCACAGCACTCACCTGATTGAACAGCATGTCTGTAATATTTTCCAGCTGGGATTCCAAGTTTATACCTCCACAGCCACTAAGAGCCAGAGCATCCACAAGTTGGTAAATACACTGTGTGCATAAAGACAGAGTAAGCATAAGTTAGCCCAGACTTGCCACAGCCTCGGCAGAAATCCTCTGTCCTCACATCTTCTCTTCAAGGATGGGCCAAGTCATCATGGTTTCACACTGCCCTCTTGGATCCTTCCAAAAAAGGCTCAGGGTCTAATTCTTTCATAGCCAAATACAGCCATGACCTGCCCTTCCCCCTGACCCAGTAAACTACACTTACTTCCAAATAATCTCATTACTCCACAGAAAACTTTAGGGAAAGTCAACATTTCGAATATTGGCTGACTTCAAAGGAGCAGGGTAAATTAATCAGAGCCAAAGCAAGAACTGATTCCATGGTTCTACGACTTACAAAATTCTGAAAACTGAGTCTAAAAGACTATGTTTCTACTCTCTGCCTGGTGGTTTCTTTTTTTTTTTTTTTAAGATTTTATTTTTATTTTATTTGACACAGAGAGAGAGATCACAAGTAGGCAGAGAGGCAGGCAGTGAGAGGGAGGGGAAAGCAGACTCCTCGCTGAGCAGACTCCTTGCTGAGCAGAGTCCGACGTGGGATTTGATCCTAGGACCCTGAGATCATGACCTGAGCCGAAGGCAGAGGCTTAACCCACTGAGCCACCCAGGTGCCCCTACCTGGCGGTTTCTTATTATTTTGTGTGTTCTTCTTATCACTGGTATACAAGAGTTCTACAGATAACCTTAGTTTTCACATGTGTAAACATGCCACTTGATTTTCTTAAAACAGGCTTATTAACATCTGATACCAAAAACGATATATATCTAAGGTGTCCAGGGGTGCCTGGGTGGCTCAGTGGGTTAAGCCTCTGCCTTCAGCTCAGGTCATGGTCTCAGGGTCCCGGGATAGAGCCCTGCATCAGGCTGTCGGTTCAGGAGGGAGCCTGCTTCCCCCTCCCCCTCTGCCTGCCTCTCTGCTTACTTGTGATCTCTCTCTCTCTCTCTGTCAAATAAATAAATAAAATATTTTTAAAAAATAAAGTGTAAAGTTTTGATAAATGTATACACTCAGGAAACCACCACAATTAATGTAAGGAACATACCCACCACACCTGAAGTTTCCTCTTAGGTCTTTGTAATTTCTCCTTCCCTCCCCTTCCAGCACCTTTCCTTTCCCCAGGCAAACATTGATCTGCTTTCTGTCATTACAGACCTTCACTTCCTTTTTAAGAAACTGCCAAACCGTTTTCCGAGGTGGTTTGCCAGTTTACATTCTGACAGATGTGTAGTGGCATCTCGTGGTGATTTTAAAGTCCCTCACGTCTATGCAATGTTGAGCAACTATTCCCGTGGTGGCTGTCTTGTCATCCTCATGTCTTCTTTGGTGAAGCAGCTGTTCAAGTTTTTGGTCTGCTTTTTAAATTTTTTTTTTAATGGGTTTTGTGTTTTTCATATATTCTGGGTGTGTGTGTGATTTGCAAATATTTTCTTCCAGTCTGAGGCCTGTCTTTTCATTCTAACAGAACAGAAGTTTCTCACTTTGATGAAGTCCACTTTATTCGTTTTGTTCTTTAATGGATCATGTTTCTGGTTTGTAGCTAAGACATCTTTGCCTACCCCAACTGCACACAAATTACTCCTGTTCTCATCTAGAACTTTGATAATTTTAGGGCTTACATTTAAGTATGAGCCATTTTTTAAAAAATATTTTATTTATTTATTTAACAGACAGAGATCACAGGTAGACAGAGAGGCCGGCAGAGAGAGAGAGGAGGAAGCAGGCTCCCTGCTGAGCAGAGAGCCCAATGCGGGGCTCGATCCCAGGACCCTGGGATCGTGACCTGAGCCGAAGGCAGAGGCTTAACCCACTGAGCCACCCAGGTGCCCCAAGTATGAGACATTTTGAGTTAATTTTTATACATGGTATGAGGTATGGATTGAAGTTTATCTTTTTGTGTATAGATATACAAATGTTCTAGCGCCATTTGTTGAAGAGACTATCTTTTCTCCAAAGAATTGCCTTTCACCTTTGCCAAAAAAATCACTTGGCAGTAAATATGTAGGTCTATTTCCAGAATCTCTATTCAGTTCCATTTATCCATTCATCTGTCTTAATACCAATACTACAGTCTCCATTGCTATAGTTTTATAAGTTGTCATTCTCTAAACTGTTTTTGCTGTATTGGGTCTTTTTCATTTCCATGTGAGTTTTAGAATCAGGTTGTCAATTCCTATTAAATAAAGCCTGCGGGGGGGCCTGGGTAGCTCACTTGGTTGGGTGACTGCCTTTGGCTCAGGTCATGATCTGGGAGTCACAGGATCAAGTCCCACATCGGGCTCGCGGCTCAGCGGGGAAGTCTACTTCTCCCTCTGACTCTCCCTCTCTCATTCTTTCTCTCTCAAATAAATAAATAAATAAAACCAGAAAGAAAACAAGCAAGACTGCTAGGTTCTTTTTTTTTTTTTTTAAGATTTTTTTTTTTTTAATTTATTTGACAGACAGAGATCACAAGTAGGCAGAGAGGCAGGCAGAGAGAGAGGAGGAAGCAGGCTCCCTGCTGAGCAGAGAGCCCGATGCGATGCGGGGCTCGATCCCAGGACCCTGGGATCATGACCTGAGTCGAAGGCAGAGGCTTTAACCCACTGAGCCACCCAGGAGCCCCATTTTTTTGTTTTGTTTTGTTTTGTTTTGTTTTAAAGTAGGCTCCACACCCAGTGTGGAGCATAATATGGGGACTCTGAACTGACTGACCAACCCAGGCGCCACAAGACTGCTAGGATTTTGGTTAGGCTTGCAATGAATCTGGGGCACCCACCTGGATCAGTCAGTGGAACAGGTGAGACTCTTGATCCCAGGGTTGTAAGTACAAGCAAGCATCATGTTGGGTGTAGAGATTTTTTTTTTTAAGATTTTATTTTTATTTTATTTGACAGAGAGAGAGAGATCACAAGTAGGCAGAGAGGCAGGCAGAGAGAGAGAGGGGGAAGCAGGCTCCCCGCTGAGCAGAGAGTCCGACATGGTTTTGACCCTAGGACCCTGAGATTGTGACCTGATATCAGGGTCCTAGAAAAAAATAGAGACCTGAGATCAGCTCATGATCTCAGGGTTCTGGGATTGAGCCCTGCATCGGGCTCTCTGCTCAGCAGGGAGCCTGCTTCCCCTTCTCTCTCCACTGCCTCTCTGCCTGCTTGTGATCTCTGTCTGTCAAATAAATAAATAATATCTTTTTAAAAAATGGCTCATACTTAAATGTAGACCCTAAAATTATCAAAGTTCTACATGAAAACAGGAGAAAATGTTTTTAAAAATGTTTTTTTAAATGATATTTTTAAAAAAGAGGATTGCAGTGAATCTAGATCAACTTGGGAAGAACTGATAACTTATTAATATTGAATCTTCCGGCCCCTGAATACTGCACATGTTTCTGTTTACTTAAGTCTTCTTTAATTTCCTCTAGCAATGATTAGTAGTTTCCAGTGTACAGGTATTACCTTTTTTCAGATTTATTCATGAGTATTTCATATTTTTATACAAATAATCATGTTGCCTGTGAATAAAGACAACCGTACTTCCTTTCCAATCTGTGCGCTAATAGGGTCAAGTTGTTTGATAGTCCTCAGATCTTCTGTACACTTTCTGATCATCTACTTGTTCTATCAATTGTTGAAAGAGGGATGTTGAAATCTGATTGTAATTACGGGTTTTTCTGTTTCTCCTTGCAGTTCTACTGGTTTTTGCTTTATGTAGTTTTAAAGCTCTGTTATAATAACAGACACATAGTAACAGGTACATAAACATTTAGAATTGTTAGGTGCTGTTGATAATTGATGCTTTCATCATTATGAAATGACATTTCTTAATACATGATGATATTCTTTGCTCTGCAATCTACTTTATCTGATATTAATACTGCAGAAACAGCTTTTTTCCATAAATGTTAACATGGTACAGCCATAACTTGTTTTATTGCTTCACTTTATTATGCTTTGGAAGGTTTTTTTTGTTTGTTTGTTTGTTTGTTTGTTTTATAAATTTAGGGTTTGTAGTGACCCTATATCGAGCAAGTCTGTCTGCACCATTTTCCCAACAGCATTTGTTGACTTTCTGTGTCACATTTTGGTAGTTCTTATAATATTTGAAATTTTTTCACTGTTATTATTTTTGCAATGGTGATATGTGATCACTGATTATAACTCACTAAGGTCTCCAATGATGCTATCTTTTAGCGATAAAGTATTTTTAAAGCACCTATATTGTATTTTAGATAAATGTTATTGCATGCTATACTACAGCGTAGTGTAAATAAAAGTTTTATATGCACTGGGAAACCAAAAAATTCATTTTACTTGCTTTACTGCAATATTCATTTTATTGCAGTAGTCTAGAACCAAACCTGTAATACCTCCAAGATATGCCTAAATATTTTTATTTATCCTTTTAATCCATTTGTATCTTTATCTTTGAAGTTCATTTCCTATAGGAAATATAGGATGTAGGTGGATATTGTTTTTTTAATCCATCTGACGATCTCTGCCTTTAATTGGGGTATTTAGACCACTTATATATAATATGATTATCTATTTATTTACTTATTTATTAATTATGGTTAGACTTAAATCTATCATCTTGCTATTTGTTTCCTACTAGTCCTAATTCTTTGTTCTCCTGTCCGTCTAGCTCTGCCTTCAAATTAATTGAATATTTTTTATAATTCCATTTGATATCCTTTGTTGGCCTATTAGCCATAACTCTTTGTTATTTTAGTGGTTGCTATACAGGGTTTGTAGCATACATTTTTTAAAAAGATTTTATTTATTTATTCGTCAGAGAGAGAGACAGTGTGTACAAGCAAAGGGAGCAGCAGGAAGAGAGAAAAGCAGTCTCCCCACTGAGCAAGGAGCCTGATGCACGACTCAATCCCAGGACTCTGGGATCATGAACTGAGCTGAAGGCTGGCACTCAAAGGACTGAGCCACCCAGGTGTCCCTATAGCACACATTTTTAATTTATCCCAGTCAATCTTCAAGTGATATTATACTACTTTACGTACACTAAGTATAGGTATACTAATACTACACTTTGTGCTATTGTCGTCATAAATTTTACTTCTACATACAACAAATTCCACACTACATTGTTATGTTTGTTAAAATAGTTACCTTATAGATTTTTTAAATAAGAAAAAATATATTCGCTCACATAATTACCATTTCTAATGGTTTTCTTCATTCTTTTGTATAAATCCATATTTCCATCTGGTATCATTTTCCTTCTGCCTGAAGGACTTTAACATTTCTTATAATATGGGTCTACTGGAGATGAATTCTTTCAGCTTTTTTTAATGTGTGAAAATGTTTTTTTCTCTTAGTCTGAAAGATATTACCACTAAGCATAGAATTCTAGGATATAGTGTTTTTCTTTCAGTACCTTGAATTCTACTATGTTTTCATTTGCATTGTTTCCAATTAGAATCTTTATTCCTCTCTTTGAAACATGATTTTTTAATTGTTTCATTTTTTTGTTTTTACTTTCTGCCTTTAAGATTTTCTCTTTTCCACTGGTTTTGAGAAATTTGAATATAACAGGTTTGGTGTGGTTTTATGTTTCTTGTGTTTGGGGTTCACTTACTGCCTTGGAACTGTGAATTTATCACTTTCTTCAGATTTAGAAAATTCTCAACCACGATTTCTTCAAATATTTTTCTGTCTTTCCCCTTTTTGGTGGAACTCCAACTGAACATAAATTAGCCTGCTTGAATTTGTCCATATCTCACTGAAGCTTCCTCCTTCTCCTCCTTCTCCCCCTTTTCTCCCTCCTCCTCCTCCTTCTACTTCTTTTTATCTTTGTGTTTCATTCTGTATAGTTTTTATTGCTATGTCTTCAAGTTAATCAATCTTTTCCAATCTAGCTTTCAAACCTACAGAATACAGTTATAATACCTGTTTTAGTGTCCTTGTCTACCATTTCTGTGTGAGTTCTGGGTCAGTTTTGATTGATTTTTCTCCCTATTATACATCATAATTTCTTGCATCTTTGTGTGTCTGGTGATTTTTTATTTAACGCCACTCATTGTGAATTAACCTTATTAAGTACTGGGTATTTTTGTATTCTTATATTCTTGAATTTCTTCTGGGATGCAGTTACTTGGAAATAGTTTGATTGTGTGGGGGAGGGTCTTGCTTTTAAAATGTGTTAGACCAAAACAGCATTCAGCCTGCTCTTAATTTTGCCCCACCTTCTCAGTGCTCTACCCAATGCCTGTGAGTTATGAAGTTTTCAAGCTGGTTGGTGTGAACAGGTACTATTCCTGGCACCGTGTGAATTCTGGCTACTGTTCTCTCAATTCTTTGTTCTTTTTCTCACCTGAAACAGTTTCCTCATATTCACAGACTGTTTAATATTCTGCTCTGTAAACTCTAGCTGCATTGGTCTCCCTGGATTCTCACCACCATCTTGTCACCTCAGGAAGTCCACTAGACTTTTCCTGGGTTTTCTTTCCCTATGCCACGACCTGGAAACTCTCTTAAGAAAATTAGCTGGGACAATAAGAGGGCTCACCTCATTTTTTTCCTGACTGTCAGGAATCACTGTTCTTTGTTGCCTCCTATCCAATGTCTTAAAAACCATTATTTCATATACTTTGTCTAGCTTTTAGTTGTTTCAGGCAAGAGAGTAAATCTGCCCCAGTTACTCCATCTTTACCAGAAGCAGAAATCTCTCCACTGGATTTTGGATATTCAACATTTCTTCCTTTCCTTCCCCTACCTGATGGATTCCCATTATAGGGCCAGTTTGCTTAACTAGGGCTGGTTAGTGCTGGTTGATGTCCAACCAAAATTATATTATAGGCTGATAAATATCTTGATTCTCAATCACCATGCCCTGGAGTGAGAGAGGAGGAAGAAGGAGAAGGGAAAAGGGAGTAGTCAAAACATTTCCACTGTCGGCCAAGATGGAATGGGGTGGAATCAACACATGAACAATCTGCGGACTAGTAGTTGGGGAAAAAATCTCATCCTCCAATTGACTAATTGACTACATAGAGCAAACCTTTGTTCCAAATTCACAGACCTTACCCTAGGCAACATGCAGACACATGCCAGGGGGGAGATCAAACAAGAGATTGTGTGCGTGGTCCACTAATCAGCAAAACTCAGAGTAGCTAAGTGAGAAAGTTCATCTCTTTCTATAACAAGGGAAGTGCATTTGAGGTTGTGGTGTAACGGTAGACTGCAAACCGTAGTCCCTGGAAACTCGATGCTAATGAGTGTTGCACTCAAAAAAAAAAAATTCTCATCTTGGAAATTCACAAATGTACATTAGCATATTTAGCAACCCTGAAAAATAGGCCTCTCAGATGCCTATTCTGAGGTGCATAATTAACCAATATCTCCAGCTGTCATGCTCTAAAATCCATCAGTGTGTTAAAACTGAAACCAGATTTCCACAGGTTTCTTCAAGCCAATGACTGAATATGGCAAGTCCACTAAGGCAGGCCTACTCCTTCAAGATGTGGGACTTTTCTGATGGGTGGCTTTGGTTCAGGGACTCCCTGTTGGCCTTACTGAAACTTTTTTAGAACCACATTGTCATCTAAGGCCTTCCTCACTTTTTCCCTCCTTCCTTTTCCTCCCTCCTTTCCCTTCTCCTTGCCAAGGTTCAGACATACATCGCCGTCTGAGCGCTCCCAGCCTCCTCTGGCTCCCTCCCTGTTTTCCCTCACAGATGTTCCTCCAATAAATCTCCTGCAACTCTAACACCATGTTGGTGTTTGCTTTTTGGAGGACAAGACTAGCCTGTGTATTGAAGGCTCTAAGAAAATTCTACATTTAAGATACTAATTTTAACTCAGTATTTCCCACCCATTTTGCCAAATAGCACAGCTTATTTTTGTGAAATACCCATTAAAAGTTGGATGGAACTTGGTTGGAGGAATGCCACTGAAATGGAAGGACTAAAACAACAAACAGAAATTTTTGGTTCCAGTACTCGGTCCTCTGCTCCTAAAAATACTTAACATTAGTATAACAATTCTAAGGTAGGCAGAATTCTGTGATGGCCTCCCAAATTTCAGGCCCCCTTTCCCAGTTATTGAATCAAGCAGTAATCTAGGTGTTGATATGAAGGGATTTTCACAGATGTAATTAAGGTCCCACATTAGTTGACCTTAAAACAGATTATCCAGGTGGGCTTGGTCTCTCTCATGAGCCATTTAAGTCTGAATCTAGAGGTCAGAGACAGGAAAGTCAGAGAGATTCAAAGGGCTATGCAACAAATTCAACAAATGTGCAGAGTGGAATTCCAACAAAACCTTATTTTACAGAAACAAGCTTCAGGCTGGATTTGGCCTGTGGGCCATGCTTTGCCAACCCTAGCATTAATTACTCAATAAATGTGGAAAGCAAAAACTAATTAAATTATCCTCTCACCCCATTCCAATCACCTGGGAAATGTAGAAAGGTGTCACTTTTGCAGATACCAAAGTCATAAACCATCGGGTTAACCGGTTCACTTGGTTCTTGAGTTTGGAGGATGGCATGAGGAAGAAGAGGTGACCGATTATCACCATAGCTTGCTCTGTCACCTGTGTCCAAGGAGACAAAACAAACTTGCCTCAGCTCAGGGATGAAGACAAGACAATCCCTTAGGGGCTTTTCCTTATTCATCTTTGTATCCCCAGGGCCTAGCACAGTGCCTGGCTAATAACAGTAATCAGTAAATTTAAGTTGCTTAATTGTGTATTTAACAAATAGGGAGCTGGACAGTGGCATTTTCTGACATACCCTTTTCTGGAGAAAGGGAGGCAGAGCCTAAGGAAAGTCACCCTGCTCTTTTGGAAGAGCCATTAAAGTTATCCTTCCACCATTAAATAGACAGACATGGCCCTGCCCCATCTTTGGCTCAAGAGTTACTCCTCCAGCCATCCATTCAACCCCACTACCTCCAAATCCCACCTTGTTGTTGGTCTTTAGGGACCAACGATTGAAGAGAAGCCTGAGGGTGAGATAAGCCTTGAAGGACACGGCCTCTTTTGTGATGTCCATTATTTCATCATCTGTAGTGGATAAATCCATGTGTTTCCGGGCACTGATGACCAATCCTTTGAGCACTGTGAGGAATGCAGGGAATATGAGCTGCCCATCACCTTTCCCTTCCCATAATGGGAAACAGACACACACGTGGGCACAGTCGTCTTATCTCCAACCCCAGAAGTGTTTCTGGGGTCCTATACTGGGAAACACCAACCCATTCACCACCACCCCAACTATTTTTCCTTTGTGACCACACCTGGAACACCCAGCAGGGGAAGGAAAAGTGGTTGAGGGTATCAACGCCCATAGCATCCCTATCAAGCTTGGTCCTTGCCCCAATCCAGGCCAAGTAGTCAGATGCAGAAGAGCAGCTGTTCACACCTGGTCTCCTCTCAGTCATTTCCTGGCCCTCCACAGCCTTCTTGGATCCCAACTTAGAGGGACCAGTCTCTTTATTTGCCCTTCTTTCCTCCCTCCCTGATTCCAACAGTCTTCCCCAGACCCTCCTGACCCTTACCATGACATATTGCCAACATGTCATCCTCTGTTTGGGCCATCCTCAGGAGGCGCAGGATATATTCCCATGTGACCCCAACGTATGAAGCTGCATCTAAGAGGGAAAGTACAAGAAAGACATCCCTATCCCAGGGAGGGGAACATCCTGGCCTTAGTGAAGGAAACTTTATAGACTGGAGGCCAGGAGACCCGGGTTCTGATCCTGGTTCTACCTCCAGAGTCTGGGCAACCCTGAACCAGTTACTCAATTTATCTGAGTTTCAGCTTCTTTAACTGTTAAATAGGAGTACAGTTCCTGATGTGACCACTGCACAGGGATGCTGGGAGGATCAAGCTCGATAATGGATATTAGCTTAGCACAGAAATGCAAGTTATTAGGACAGCCTACACATGAACACTCCTTTCCAAAAACCCTTGGGAAATAGAGAGCTATGCTGTCTGAGATGGATGTGAAGACATTTGCCCTGATTAGATCAAGCGACATGTTTCCAGCTTCTGTTGCTGTGTCTGTGCTCGCTGGGTCATGCCTTGTCATTTTGAGCCTAATGCTCAGAAGGCAAACTTACTCCCCCCAGACTCTCTTTCCCCCAGTTCCAAGTGGTAGAGAAAAGGTCACTAGTCCTGTGACTTGATTGCCTTTTCACACTTTGCGATAGAGGGGAGCAGAATGGGTAAGCGAGCCACCACCATCACCAGGAGCCACTAGGGCAGAGACTGAATGGTGAGTCTCTGCCTCTTCCTGCCTACTCTATTAACTTCCAAGCCTCTAAACAAATTCAACACTGCAGGTTCCCTTAAGTAAAGCCCTCCTTGCTTCCTCCTTGCCCCTACCCACCACTGCTGAATGGGGGCTTTCTATTCTGCCTTCTCTCTTCACCTGGAGTCTTCTTTCCAACTCTGTGGGTCTCCCATGCCCTAATACAGCCTATCATGCCATTCTTGGTCTCCAGAAACTCCCTCCTGAGTTCCCAGGAGCCCAGTAGGGATCCTAGTTTGTTCTCCCACCTACACATACACACCCATGACTGACATAAGTGGAGATGTCCAATGAGAGAAATCAGGAGTATAAAGCTGATCTAGAGCATATACAATGTCTCCACCCCCTGCTGCCCCTGTCCTCTTCTCAGACTAACTCAGGCTATACCCTGGCGGTGGATGAGTCTTCCCACTGCAGTCAGGAGGCAATTTGGGGGCAAGGTGTTGTGCCATCTGTCCCACAGCTTGAAGATGACTATTCCTGGAGACTGGAACCCCAGAGCCATTAGGACCGTAGTACACAACTCTTCCAGTTCTCCCTCCGGCTTCTGGAAAAGAAAGATTAACTATTAAAAGGCTAATCCCCAAGATGAGTCCCGTAGTTTCTGAGAATCAGCTTTGGCCAATAAGTGATTCTCTTCCATCTAGAAGGCAAGAACTCCCCTACCACCCCATCCAACAAATGCCTTCCCAGTGATGGAGGGCAAGAGCTTCCTAGAGCATGCAAAGAACAGGTAGACAAAAAATCTGTAAAGTCTCTGTGTTGGGGGCAGGGGGTTTGTGGGGATTGAAGATTTCAGAGCAGAGAAATTCCCCTACAGCACCTAGGGAATCATCAGGAAGGTGGGTAGATTATGGAAGCAACTTTGGAAATCTCTGGCAGGTCAAGAATCTTGATCAGAAGACAGGCATGCCAAGGAAGGCAGGTAAACCAGAAGAAAGATAATTCATAGGTAACCAAGAAAATAAGAAACGAGATTAACCAGTGTCAGGAACGTGCATGTAAAGTACGTGGGTAGATGGATAGGTAGACATTATGAATGTTCAGTCTAGAGGTGGGCCGGCACATGGGTAAGTGGATTTGAAAGACAGTGAGATGATTAGTTGAATTGCAGTAACAAAGCTGACAGACAGTCTGAAAACCAGGTCAGACTTGGAGCCCAATAGCCCAAATCCTTCCCCCCTTTCCATCTCCCTTCTCCTGCCTCACCACTTTGCTTCACTGCTGTAGCTTGCAATTCTGTCTAGGTCATGGTCCTTGAGATATGCTCAGAGTACTAGGTACGGACTCCAGCAAACTGTTTAGAAATGAGACACTCACATCCCAGATCCCAGTTGGTTTCCAAGTGTCATCATCCGCCAGAAAGAACTCCTGGGCTCAGACCTGCTGTTTTCTTCCCCCAAAGTCCCCAGCCCAGAGGCACAGGCTCCTCACCGTGGTCCTCAGGTAGTCAACGAAGATATCGGTCACCTTCTGGCATAGTGGAGGTACCATCTTGTTGTTTAGGATTTTAACTTTCAGCGACTTGAGAGTTTTAAAGACATTATCTGTTGACAACTACAGGAGAGAAGGGACTCAGGAAGAAAGGAAGGTTGAAGGGTAAAGATAATAAAGAGAATAAGGGCCCCTGGTAGAGAAAGGAAGAGGAGGAGTGAATCCAGGAAGAGGGTTAAAGCTGGATCAGGGATTGAGGGGATGGAGGGAATATGGGTCAGACTAGGGACACGGGAATCAGACCTGGAGCTATGATGGCCTGGACCAAGTAGTGCTCTGCTAACTGGAGATGTCTCCTACTCTCCTGGCACAACAGGTATGTACCCAACAAGCTACCTGGATAGAAATGGTCCTGTGCTGGTTGGAGCCAGTAAAATGTCTGAGATGTCCTCACCTGATCAGCAGATTGGAGTACCTCCATAATGTCCTCAATGTTCTTTTCTGAGGTATCCCATTCCTGGTTCCTCTCAGTGATCTCTGAGGAATGTATCATAGCTATAAACATCTCTGTAAGAAGTAAAGAGCGTGAACTGGGGGAGTTGTTTCTCTCTTGCTACAGGTGGGTATTTCATCAGAGGGGGATACCATGCTACAAAGAAAAACATACAAGGCGCACTGGGTGGTTCAGTGGGTTAAGCCTCTGCCTTCAGCTCAGGTCATGATCTCAGGGTCCTGGGATGGAGCCCCGAATCGGGCTCTCTGCTCAATGGGGGGCCTGCTTCCCCCCGCCCCCGCCTGCCCTCTGCCTACTTGTGATCTCTGTCAAATAAATAAATAAAATCTTTTAAAAAAACATACAAAGAATATTAAGAATCAGAAGACACAAGTTTGGGTTCTGACTCAGAGTCTGCCCCCCACTAGCAATATATCTTTAGGCAAATTACCTAACTCCCAGAGACTCTATTTCCTCATATGTAAAATAAGCACATGAGAGGGGCACCTGGATGGCTCAGGTCATGATCTCAGGGTCCTGGGATTGAGCCCTGAGGCAGGCTCCATGCTCAGTGGGGAGTCTGCTTCAGGATTCTCTTCCCCTGCCCCTCTCCCCACTTGCTCGGCACTCTCCATCTCCAAAATAAATAAATAAATCTTTAAGAAAAAATTATATAAGGGGCACTGGGTGGCTCAGTCCTTAAGCCTCTGCCTTCAGCTTAGGTCATGATCTCAGTGTCCTGGGATGGAGCCTCGCATCGGGCTCTCTGCTTAGCAGGGAGCCTGCTTCTTCCTCTCCCACTTCCCCCTGCTTGTGTTCACTCTCTCGCTGTGTCTCTCTCTGTCAAATAAATAAATAAAATCTTTTTTTAAAAAATTAAGAAAGAAAGAAAGAAAGAATTTACATGAGAGTCAAAAAAGACGAGATGTGTGCTCTTAGGTACCAACTTTCAGGATTTCTGTCTGCTCTTTGGATCACATCTTTCCCCTTGAGATCATAAACTGCCTTCTGTAGGTGCAACTTGGATAGAGATCTGGGGTAGAGGAGTGCTTGTCCATAAGACTATGAAAAATTACTATAAACTACAAACTTGTACTCTAGTGACATATAGCCATAGTCTTGGTTAATAGTGATAGAAAAAAAAAAAAAAACAAACACCCAGAAAACTGATTTAGTCTGAGTTCAGTCTATCTACTATCAACAAGGATGGATGACTGATCGATTGACTGATGGATTTAAAAGTTTGGGTTTGGGGCGCCTGGGTGGCTCAGTGGGTTGGGCCTCTGCCTTTGGCTCAGGTCATGATCTCAGGGTCCTGGGATTGAGCCCCGCATCGGGCTCTCTGCTCAGCAGGGAGCCTGCTTCCCCCTGTCTCTTTGCCTGCCTCTCTGCCTGCTTGTGATCTCTGTCAAATAAATAAATAAAATCTTTAAAAATAAAAAAAGTTTAAAAAATTTTTAAAAAATATAAAAGTTCAGATTTGTCTTTACTACAGATATTATTATTTTTTAGTACTTTTTTTTTTTAAAGGTTTTATTTATTTATTTGACAGAGAGATCACAAGTAGGCAGAGAGGCAGGCAGAGAGAGAGAGGAGAATGCAGGCTCCCTGCTGAGCAGAGAGCCTGATGCGGGACTCGATCCCAGGATCTTGAGATCATGACCTGAGCTGAAGGCAGTGGCTTAACCCACTGAGCCACCCAGGCGCCCTACAGATATTATTTAACATGCTTTACTTACTTCACTCATTTGTAAAATGGTCATCGTTATGGCAGTGATAGCAGGAGTAGCAGTTGTACAAATATCCAACTCATAGAGTTGTTAGGCGCATTATATGAAATAATATATGTGGAATAGTGCCTGACATATAGTAATAACTCAGTAAATATTGACTATTATTATTCTCAATTAGAAACTGTTGGGACTGTACCCGAATCCACAGTATCCCCATATCTCTGTAGGAGAAAAGCTTTTTGTTGTCATTTTAAGACCAGGTCCTGGACATTAGATCAGGATTAGGGGTAGCAAATGAGACAACCAAAAAAGCTACGAGAAAGGAAGTGTATTTAACAGAAGGGGAGAGAGAGGGAAAGGAAGAGAAATAGAGATGTTACATAAAATGAACAAGCCCAAATTCCTAAAGACATGTAGAAATCTAATGCTAGGAAAGACAACACAGCAAAACCAACAATTGGAACAGGAAATTAGTTCAGAGGAAATTAATTTTGTAAAACAGCTTCTCTAAGACTTCAATAAAATAATAGTAATGATAATAATTGTTGCCATCTTCTTCCTCCTCCTCCTCATCAAACAAATATGCTTAGGATGCTAAAAAATGGAGAATAAAGGGGGTCCCTGGGGGTGCAGTTGGTTGAGGGTCAGATCCTTGGTTTTGGCTCAGGTCATGATCTCAGAGTCGTGAGACTGAGCCCCGCATCAGGCTCCGTGATCAACGGAGTCTGCTGAGATTCTCTGCCCCTTTCCCTCTGCCTCTTCGGCTGACCCCCTCAAATAAATAAATAAACCTGAAACTGATTATGTAGCTATACAGAAGAGTTATTCAAGTAACTTTTAAACATAATATTCTAAGTGTGTGCCTATAATGGGATATCTCCTAAGGATAAAAAGACCTGCAAAGAAGTCTTGAAATTTATCTAATGAGTTTGTTATTGGTAGTGTTATTGGGGAGGTAGTTATGAAACCATTGCGTATGTTGTAGTAAATATACTGTTTTTCAGGAAACAGGATTGTTACCATGGAAGAAGGGAGATGCAAATATAGAATGGGAGCCCATGATGTTTAAATTTTAATTAATTTTAAATAAATTAATTAAGACTTCGTGATTTAAAGTATTTCTGTCCGTTGAAGATGTACAAAATACCAATGAGCACATCTGCTACATACCATTTATACTCCACTCTTTTTTTTTTTAAAGATTTTATTTATTTATTTGAGAGAAAGAGTGTGCAAGCACAAAGGCGGGGATGGGCATTTTTTTTTTTTAATGTTGAAATCATACTTATATTATTTTACACTACTTTCCCTCATTACATCTGGGTCTTTGGCTCTCCAGGCCTTATGTGTCCATGAAATGGAAGCTTTTGCTTCCTTAAGAATGTCTTGTCTGTCCTGGTAATGTGATTATCTCTGAAACTCTTCTCAGGCTATGTAATATCTATGCCACTTCTTTGCAGATGCTTGGGAAGTGGTGGTGGATCTAAAAACATTCAGTTAAGAATCAAGAAAAACATAAGGCTTCAGCCATGCAAGTTCTCTGACTCTTCTCCACATTTCTGTTACCATCAGAAAGTTAATTAGATGATTCTTTAATGCCCTACAGATACAGTTTATTGCTAAACGTTTAATTCTACCATTGCAATTTAAGTCTAAAAAAGTTACTTTTAAGCTGGAGGGCTCTGGGGAGTGGGGGATGGTGGCGTCAAGATTGCCTTGATTCGAAACTGAGATTAGCCATTCTCTAGTTATGCATCCTGGTGAGTTTCATCATTGCCGGGTGCAATATGGGGCTGGATCTCATAACCCTGAGATCATGACCTGAGCCAGTACAAAGAGTTGGATGCTCATCCGACTGAGCCACACAGGCATCCCTATAACCCACTCTTTCAAAAAAGAAAAAAAAAAAAGCCTTCTTGAAGAAATGGCAGATTTCTGGTCATAAATGGTTGGGAGTAGAAAGAGTACAAGATAGGTCCCTATACTTTTGTGCCAAAAACAGACACGTGCTCAAAAACCCAATGGGTATACATTAAAAAGACAGAAGACCCAGATGAAAGGGGTCTCCCATTGGTCAAATGAGCAACATTTTGAACATCAAAAAGAATGACAATAATAACTTAAAATCCATTGAATAAAAAATAAAGAAGAAAAAGAAAGGAACCCATGGGCCCAAACTGGAACTTAAAAATGGTAGTGGTACACCTGGGTGGCTCATTCAGTTAAGCATCTGCCTTCAGCTCAGGTCATGATCCCAGGGTCCTGGGATGGAGCTCCATGTCAGGCTCCTGCTTGGCGGGAAGCCTGCCGCTCCCTCTCCCACTGCCTCTCTCCCTGGCTTATACTCTTTCTCAAATAAATAAATAACATCTTTTTAAAAAATAATAAAGATAAATTAATAAATGCTTGGTAGTTACAGTGGGGGAGGAGGGATTCCACTTTAAAAGATGCCAGCTAATAATAGAGAAGGAATGACAGAATTGCAACTATAGACGAAATAACTGTTGCAAGCAAGAAGCACCAATGATATTGACATGGCCTGAAGCATCACCACACGTATTATGCATTAAGTTACAAAAGGAGAAAAGCTCTTTTACAACAGAGAGATCTGATGAGTACCCCCTTCACCAAGCTATCAAGCGTAAAATCACCAATAACAGAACTGACCGATATTATATGTTCCCTGATGATGCAATGGAAGACATGCTTCCCCATGCAGTATTTTTGCCCACTACGTTTAATTTAAATCTAAAATGAGGAAGCGATCAGTCAAATCCAGATTATAGGACAGTTGACATGACCACTAAAGACGAAAATGGTGGGTGGGCTATCTTAGAGGAAAGGAGAACTCAATGGATCATCTTTGATCGGATCTTAGGTGGGCTGAAGAATAGCTAGAAAGGAAATTTTAGCTAGAAAGAAAATTTCGAGGACTCTTGGGGAAATTTGACCACAGGCTATGTGATAATGATAATGTTGTATCAATATTAAGTTCCTTGAGTATAATAAGGTTATAAGAATTCTCCTTGAATACTTAAAGTCCATAATATAAGTGTGAACTTATTCTGGAATGATTCAGATCTGTGTGCATGCGTCTGTATATGGATTGAGAGAGACAGAGTATGAGATGAGCACAAACATGGCAAAATATTTAGCAAACTGGAGAATGTAGGTTGAAGAATAAAGGGTGCTCATTGCACTATTCTTTTAACTTTTCTATAGGTCTGGTATTTTTCCAAAATAAAATGTTAGGAGAGAAATCAAGATCCACCAGTTATCAAAAGACACCATTAGGTGAGTAAAAAATGGCAAAGCTCAGAGTGCAAAAAGATAT